ATATAGTGAATGCAGGGTCCTGGAGACCAGATATAGTGAATGTGGGGGTCCGGGGAGACCAGATATAGTGAATGCAGGGTCCGGGGAGACCAGATATAGTCAATGTGGGGTCCGGGGAGACCAGATATAGTGAATGCGGGTTCCGGGGAGACCGGATATAGTCAATGCAGGGTCCGGGGAGACCAGATATAGTGAATGCAAGGTCCGGGGAGACCAGATATAGTGAATACAGGTCCGGGGAGACCGGATATAGTGAATGCGGGGTCCTGGGAGACCAGATATAGTGAATGCGGGGTCCGGGAGACCAGATATAGTGAATGCAGGGTCCTGGGAGACTGGATATAGTGAATGCGGGGTCCGGGGAGACCGGATATAGTAAATGCAGGGTCTGGGGAGACCAGATATAGTGAATGCAGGGTCCGGGGAGAGAGTGAATGGATATAGAGTGAATGCAGGGTCCAGGATTTAGCAACACTGTAAGGAAAGGTAGGTCAGTGAGGAGGGAGTTGCAGTAGTCAAGGCGGGACATGACCAGGGAGTGAGTTAGAAGCGTGGTGGTGTCCTTGGTTAGGAAGGGGCGTATCTTGGAGATATTGTGGAGGTTGAGGCAGCAAGCTTTGGCCAGCGATTGGATTGGAAGGATAGTTCAGAGTTCAGGATTACACCTAGCACCCTGGCATGGGGGGATGTGTTGGTTGAGCCATTGATTATGACAGGGAAGTCAGTGGATGGGGCACGTAGGGGAGGAAATATTCATGTGGACAATTGTATGAACATTCTTTGCACATTTGATGAATCGATGAATGTCGTTCAAAAATTGTCTTTTGCTGTTAACCCTTTGGCACTGGTGCCTCTTAGCTCTTTAAGGGGTTTATGACATCAGAAGGCAGGGTTTAGGGTCACGTGACTGCCGTGATTGGCTGTCACAGCGGTCACATGATCAGAAAGGTCCCGATTGCAAGTAGTGATCAGGACCTTTCCAGGAGATGCCAGTAAAAGTTCTGGTCTTGCCACGTGTTTGTATTTGCTTGTGGTACACAAATATGCGGCCACTCCGCGTCAAGGCCCAGCCGATTAGAGGCCACATATTTGAATACTGTTGGCGCCAACATGTTAAAGCAATTCTAAAGGTTCATTTTTTGGGAGGAAAATAACAAACATGTCTATACTTACCTGCTGTGTGCAGTGGCTTTGCACAGAGCAGCCCAGATATTCCTCTTCTTGGGTCCCCTGCAGGCTTTCCTGGCCCCTCCCTCCTGTCGGGTGCCCCCACAGCAAGCAGCTTGCTATGGGGGCACCTGCTGCTCTGTGTGTCCATTCACACATGGAGCCATGGCTTTGCCCCACCCTCCTCTCTCCTCATTGGCTGACTGGCTGTAATTGACAGCAGTGGGAGCCGATGGCTCCAGCTTGCTGTCTCAGCCAATGAGGAGGCAGAGACCCGGGACAGCCAAGGCTGTTGTTCACATCACTGGATCGTGATGGGGCTCAGGTAAGTATTAGGGGGACTGGGGGCATTGCTGCACATAGAAGGTTTTTATCTTCATACATAGAATGCATGGAGGTAAAAAACCTTGAGCCTTTACATCCACTTTAACATTCAATTCTAAAATGAATGCCATTTCTGAACAATAACCACATACACTGGCCGAAAATTTGTTTGACTGAGAAAAGTTTTCCTTCCTGCCCCATCGAATCTTCCCATCACTGCAGTTGAAAATGAATGTCGATTTGACCCCACCAATGATTGGAAAATCAAACAACAGTTCTTCAAACGAAAATTTTCAAACGGAAAAAAATATACATAGAAAAGTGAAGGCAGAAAAAGACCGAGTGGTCCATCGAGTCTGCCCGTTTTTTTTTTTTGTTTTTTGTTATGGTTTTTTTTATGTGACTTTTTTTTTATTTTTGTTTTTTTTTTTACTTTCTTTGTCTGAGTATAGATCTGTGCTTGTCCCACGTGCCGGCCAGTGTCCTCAACCGCAGGTCAAATGTAACAACTTCTGTGCCAAAAATATTTGATGACTTCCTCTTCTGTTTACAAATAAATGAAACAACAGAAGAGCTGCTGGGAGCAGAAACTGCAGTTCCACCGTACAGGCAGGTGGGGGAGCTCGCGGACCACAGTCCGTTTAGGCTCAGTTCTGCAAGGCAGATCCAGTTGCAGGAGGGTCCTAATTAGGGGATCCATGGAGGGGGATTAGGAAGCTGCACAAGTGACCCCTTTGCCTGACCCTTCCAGAGCAGGTGGGCTTGCAGGACAACCTAATGACTGCAGGACTTATTAAAGAGAATTAACCCTTCCCTGCCTAGACCCAGTTCTGCAAGGCAGATCCAATTGCAGGAGGGTCCTAATTAGGGGATCCATGGAGGGGGATTAGGAAGCTGCACAAGTGACCCCTTTGTCTGACCCTTCCAGAGCAGGTGGGCTTGCAGGACAACCTAATGGCTGCAGGACTTACCAAAGAGAGAGCATTAACCCTTCCCTGCCTAGACCAGTTCTGCAAGGCTGATCCAATTGCAGGAGGGTCCTAATTAGGGGATCCATGGAGGGGGATTAGGAAGCTGCACAAGTGACCCCTTTGCCTGACCCTTCCAGAGCAGGTGGGCTTGCAGGACAAACCTATTGGCTGCAGGACTTACCAAAGAGAGAGCATTAACCCTTCCCTGCCTAGACTCAGTTCTGCAAGGCAGATCCAATTGCAGGAGGGTCCTAATTAGGGGATCCATGGAGGGGAATTAGGAAGCTGCACAAGTGACCCCTTTGTCTGACCCTTTCAGAGTAGGTGGGCATACAGGACAACCCAATGACTGCAGGACTTACCAAAGAGAGAGCATTAACCCTTCCCTGCCTAGACCCAGTTCTGAAAGGCAGATCCAATTGCAGGAGGGTCCTAATTAGGGGATCCATGGAGGGGGATTAGGAAGCTGCACAAGTGACCCCTTTGTCTGACCTTTCCAGAGCAGGTGGGCTTGCAGGGCAACCCAATGACTGCAGGACTTACCAAACAGAGAGTATTAACCCTTCCCTGCCTAGACCCAGTTCTGCAAGGCTGATCCAATTGCAGGAGGGTCCTAATTAGGGGATCCATGGAGGGGGATTAGAAAGCTGCACAAGTGACCCCTTTGTCTGACCCTTCCAGAGCAGGTGGGCTTGCAGGACAACCTAATAGCTGCAGGACGTACCAAAGAGAGAGCATTAACCCTTCCCTGCCTAGACCCAGGTCTGCAAGGCAGATCCAATTGCAGGAGGGTCCTAATTAGGGGATCCATGGAGGGGGATTAGGAAATTGCACAAGTGACCCCTTTGCCTGACCCTTCCAGAGCAGGTGGGCTTGCAGGACAACCTAATGGCTGCAGGACTTACCAAAGAGAGAGCATTAACCCTTCCCTGCCTAGACCCAGGTCTGCAAGGCAGATCCAGTTGCAGGAGGGTCCTAATTAGGGGATCCATGGAGGGGGATTAGGAAGCTGCACAAGTGACCCCTTTTCCTGACCCTTCCAGAGCAGGTGGGCTTGCAGGACAACCTAATGGCTGCAGGACTTACCAAAGAGAGAGCATTAACCCTTCCCTACCTAGACCTAGTTCTGTAAGGCAGATCCAGTTGCAGGAGGGTCCTAATTAGGGGATCCATGCAGGGGGATTAGGAAACTGCACAAGTGACCCCTTTGTCTGACCCTTCCAGAGCAGGTGGGCTTGCAGGACAACCTAATGGCTGCAGGACTTACCAAAGAGAGAGCATTAACCCTTCCCTGCCTAGACCCAGTTCTGCAAGGCAGATCCAATTGCAGGAGGGTCCTAATTAGGGGATCCATGGAGGGGGATTAGGAAGCTGCACAAGTGACCCCTTTGTCTGACCCTTTCAGAGTAGGTGGGCATACAGGACAACCTAATGGCTGCAGGACTTACCAAAGAGAGAGCATTAACCCTTCCCTGCCTAGACCATGGGCTGGGAAATGAGACCAGCCCAGTGCAATGTGTTCTATTATAAAAGCAAATAATGAAGGATGTGCCCATTGCATGCTAACCTTTGTATTAGCACACTTTGCCTTCTAATTGCAGCAGGATGGGCTGACTACATTGAGAGATCCCTCAGCCTTGTAGATGGAAATGATATGCAGATTGCAGTATTTATTCTATTTCATAGTCACACATGTGGAGTTCTGAAGAATGCTGCCTGAGCTTATCCTAGAGGGACCCAAGGCTCAGCCCCTTTAAGAGGAGGAGCTGAAGGGGGGGTCACAGGGGGGCTGGGAGGGTGTGGGAATATTCCTCATCTGGAAGATACAAAGCTAACGCTTCTCATAGCAGATCAGCGGAAGAGAGAAAGAGGAGATCGGGCTGTGTGGTGGGATCCTAGGGTGACTGGTCCTCTTCACTGCCCAGAACATGGTGCCCACCTCTGCTCCTGGCACTGCTGACCCCTGCAAGGAGATGCTCACAACTTTCTAGGACTGAGGACCCTGCGAGATGGCATGAGGACCTCAGCAAGTGTGGACAAAGAGCCCAACATGTGCCCAAGGAAGGATGCCTAGGACACAAAGATCTGTCTGCAATGTGCCGGGTGGGCACCCTACAATGTGCCCAGGGAGGGGAATGTGCAACACCTAACCTGGACACCCACCTGGACAAAGACCTACCTTAAGTGATGGCCAGTGGACCAAGGATTTACCCCTTTGTACAGATACAGAAGAAGTGCCCATGGAATAAGTGCCCTCAGGGTCATTGTGATTGTGCCAAGTGCTGTTTGTGCCCAGCAAGGATGAGGACTGCTCTAGTATTGGTCACTTCAGGGGTCCTCCTGGTGGTAGGGGGTGTCTTCTGGGTAAGGAAAGACCATCATCCTGTGGAGCAGCCTGAGCATCTCCATCAAAGGTCCCCCAGGGCTCTGCGCCTGCCTGCACTAGCCCCACACACTCCACCAGTCACTGAGGGACATGCCCATGGGGCATCTCCAGGGCACGGGAACCCAGAGAACCGATCACAGCCAAGCCTTTCCATGGAGCAGGGAGTCTATTGGCCATGGACACTGGAGAGGACACTGCCCCAGGGCTTTACTGATGAATACTCTCAGGGTTGGCAGCAATTTGCTCGCAATGCCAGTGTGGTGACCCTGGAGAGAGGTTGCGGGCGCAGCACCAACCGACTGGCAACCTTATCAGATGGCAGCAAAGCCTGCATACGTTATGGCATCAACCCGGAACAGATCCAGGGGGAAGTCCTCTCCTTCTACCTATCTCGCCTGCTGGGGCTGCCAGCTGTGCCACCCTGTGTCCTCTCCAAAGTGGGTGGTACACAGTGGGCTCTGGCTGAGCTGGGGGGCACAGGTTGGGCATCAGGCTCCTTGGTCACCATCACCCCTTGGTTGCACAACCTCAGTTCAGTCCTTCCACCCCTTGCCCTGCGAGCTGAGGATGGCAAACTGCGCCCCCTACTGGAGGAATTGCACTCAGGGCAAACTGGCATGGTGGAGCTGGCACAGTGGGGTGACTTGATCCTCTTTGACTACCTGACTGCCAACTTTGACCGGCTGGTGAGCAATCTTTTCAGCCTCCAATGGGATCCTCGGGTCATGTTGCGGGGAACTAACAACCTCCATCGGTCTCCAGATGGCACCTTGGTTTTGTTGGATAATGAGGCTGGGCTGGCACATGGGTACAGGGTTCGGGACACCTGGGACAAGTACAACAAGGAGCTTCTGGTTACAGTGTGCCTGTTCCGCAGGGGCTTGGTGCGCAAATTGCGGGAGCTGTACTTAGGGCAACGCACCGCGGAGGAGCTGCACGCGCTGTACTTGGCGGGGGAACCGCTGGCCGCCGAGCTCGGCTTATTAACTGAGTCGGAGGCACAGGTCTTACAGGACAGAGTGGGACTTCTCTATAGACACATACAGAGCTGCCAGGACAGGTACAGCTGATACAAGTGGATCTAGAACCCAAAAGGGGAACATTTGTTCCACAACTTTCTAGTAGGACATCGCTGAGAAAAAGTAGATCAAGTCCGAAACTCAACATTTTTATAAAATTTTACTAACTGTGTTATCTGTAATGAGATGCTTGTACTACTGATTGATCCGTCTGATGACCATGAACACTTCCAAGAGCAATGGTGTGCAGCAACCAATCAGAAATCACCTTCTGTCCCTCTTATGCCTCAAAAATGGATAGAGGGTGAAATCTGATTGGTTGATAGGAGTCAGAAGACTTTGCACATGGCGGTTGCACTTTGTACTGCTTTGTATTAGCTTTATTTAATAACACTGTGCGAACAGCAAGGAAGCGCCATAAGCCGCAGCAGCCAATTAGAAATCAGCGATCAGAAGTATTTCTGATTTTTTTTTTTTGGGTTTTGTGCTGTGAAATGGCATTTCATGCTTTTTGCATTCTTACTGATGACATTTGTACAGGTTAAAAGGGTATTGTGGGGTGAATGTAATGGTTGGAGAAGGACTGAAGCTGGCCATACGCAAACCGATGGAGATATTGTGTTCTGACAGCCGGGCCAGCCAGCTGTCAAAATACCCAAACAGCGGCTGCATCTGATTGGACGCAGGCGCTGTTTGACAAAAGTATTTTTTTTCCTAACTAGCTCTTTCCATTTTTCTGTTAGAGGTTGTCATGCGGAGGGGTAGCAAACAGACCACCCACTGAGCAAATGTCAGCTGGTTCATCAAGAACTGGCCAAAATTAGCTCTGCTTATGGCTAGCTTAGCTCAGCTGGCAAACCGACCTCTGTTAGGGCGAACGGAGAACCAGCATCTATTTTTCTGTATGTTTGGCATCATGTCTCACTGGAAACTACTTTGTTGACTTACGGCTGGTTCACACCACAAAAACGCACGTTGGATGCATTTCGGATGCATTTCTACTTGCGGTTCACACCACAAAAATGCACGGATGTGTTTAAAATGCATTTCTGCTTGCAGTTCACACCACAAAAACACACGTTGGATGTGTTTCAGATGCTTTTCTGCTTGCGGTTCAGACCACAAAAACACGTTGGATGCGTTTCGGATGCATTTCTGCTTGCAGTTCACACCATAAAAACACACGGATGCGTTTCGGATGCATTTCTACTTGCGGTTCACACCATAAAAACACGTTGGATGCGTTTCAGATGCATTTCTGCTTGCGGTTCACACCACAAAAACACACGTTGGATGCGTTTCGGATGCATTTCTGCTTGCGGTTCACACCATTAAAAAACACACGTTGGATGCGTTTCGGATGCATTTCTGCTTGCGGTTCACACCACAAAAACTCACGTCGGATGCGTTTAGAATGCATTTCTGCTTGCGGTTCACACCATTAAAAACACACGTTGGATGCGTTTCGGATGCATTTCTGCTTGCGGATCACACCACAAAAACTCACGTCGATGCGTTTAGAATGCATTTCTGCTTGCGGTTCACGCCACAAACACATGTATGCGTTTTGGATGCATTTCTGCTTGCGGTTCACACCACAAAACTCACTCCAGATGTGTTTCTGCATGCACGTTTCTGATGCATTTACAATGCGTTCTATTGTGGGGGGTTTTTTTTTCCCTTTTTTCCTTTTTTCTAAGGTGTGGTTTTTTTTTTTTTTTTTGTTTTTTTAATGTGATGTGTTCCAGTGCGTTTTTGATGCATTTAGATGCCTTCCAGTGTGTTACAGTGTGGTTTTGATGCATTTTTTCAGTACAGTTCTGTGCAGGAAAAATGCAGCATGTTCCACTTTTTTGTCTGCACTGGAACCGACTGCACTGGTGTGTATGATGCCATTGAAACCCATATAATCCACTATCCATGCGTTTTTGATGCAGAAAAAAAACCCGCACTGGAATGCATCTGGTGTGGACCGGCCCTAAATTATTTTTCTGTTGCAAAGGTTTACCTTTTAAGATCCTGCCAAAACCAGCACTTCCTGTTGCAGGCTGACAACGCTAAGCCACCTCTTTGCAATTAGCATCAGCGTGGCCGGCTGTACTCCTTTTGGTTGTACTTTTGGCCTGGCTTCCTGATATGGTGGCCATCTACGCTTTGATTTTTCCATCAAACAAGTGAGAAATTCAATAAAGCAACAAACGTAAAGACATCATTTTCCATTCAATCGATTTAGTCTAGGTTCACACCTATGCGTTTTCCGGAAACACACAGCAGTCCATTTAACATGATTTCCTATGGGACATGTTCACAGCTCAGCGTTTTCACCCGGTGCATTTTTTTGGGAAGGGTCAGGGACTTTTTTAAATGCAAAACTTTGCGTTTTTGGTTCTAAAGACTTCAATGGAGACGCTTCAGAAAAGCATGTAGTGCGTATTTGATGCAAATTATTTTTTTTTTTTTTTTTTTTTTATGCACATTTGCTTTTTAATCTGCCCAGCAACAAGTAAAAAATTTTTTTTAAACCCCGCAAAAATGCACCGCAAAACGCACTGCAGAAACTATTCAAACGCAAACTGCATAGGTGTGAACCTAGCCTTAGATTAAATTCAATCAAACTGAGTCAATTGGCAGAGGCTGGAACTTATTGATCATGTTGCATCAATCCGCAGCATTGAACTGCTTTGTTCATGAATTGAATTGATCAGGCTGTGGGATTGCATTGGGAAAACAGAGATACAGAGTGCCGTTTTGCTGCGTTTTGCAGCGTTTGAGCGTTTTTACAGCTTAAAAACTCCTCTAGAAACCCAGTACTGGGTTTTTTTTCAGCCAAAAACGCCCCTGCCTAAAAATGCTGATTACAGTCTGTGTGTATGGACCAGGGGTGGACTGACCATTCGAGCACTCGGGCAGTGCCCGAGGGCCCGGGGTCAGTAGGGGGCCCCATGAGAAGTTCCTGGTACCTTTTTTTTTTTTTTTGATAGGCTTTTTTGGGTGTGGTTTGAGTGTGGGCAAGGACACAGGGGCCCCATGATCCCCTATTGCCCGGGGGCCCCATGAGTTATCAGTCCACCCCTGGTATGGACACATAGGATAACATGCTAGGGAGTTTACTGGCTGTAGAAAAAGACGCCAAAAGCTATGATCAGCTCTTCCTCCATGCAATCAAAATATTTCCCCTTGAAATATCTATCAAATTATTATTAATTATAGATGATTCCTATTGGGAATAATTGATCAGAAAAGAAATCAGTCATTTATCGAAGTGAGTATGGCCACCAATAGATCCGGTAAGTAGCCCAACGGCAGCTGACAACACTGCCACGAATTGAGAAGCAGCGGCTTAGCGTTGTCAACCTATAACAGGAAGCGCTGTTACTGGCAGTTGTAGAAATGTTGCAACAAATTCACAAAAAAAATGAATTCCTCAAGAAAACTGTCTATAACAAGGGCCCAGGGGCAGACTGACCATTTGAGCACTCGGGCACTGCCTGAGGGCCCGGGGTCAGTAGGGGGCCCTATGAATTGCCCCTGGTACCTTTTTTTTTTTTTTTTTTTTTTTTTTTTATAGGCATTTTTGGGTGTTCTTTGAGCGTGGGCAAGGACACAGGGGCCCATGATCACCTATTGCCCGGGGGCCCCATGAGTTATCAGTCCGGCCCTGCAAGGGCCCTTTCAAACTGACCAGTTAAAAAAAAAAAAAGCAGAAGAAAAATGCTTCCTTTTAAATCCTATGGAGCTAGTCACACCAGTCAGTTGCGTTCCAGGCTGCTTTCACACCGCTCCATTGCAAAAACTGCAGTCAAAACGCATAATCTCTCACTTTTTGTAACTGGGAAAAACTGATCCCTGTGAAAGGGCCCAAAGGCATCATGGCAAACATACTGAAATATAGAAATTTGGGTTTGCATTCACAGTTCAAGGTGTCCACACACATTGCAATCTTACGTTTAAGATTTTCCGTTCAGATTGTTGCTTTTTTTAATTGACGAAACATTTGAATCATGTATGTTGGTGGTTCTGATCGGCATATCGGATCAGATGAAATGGAATTTCTGTTGGAAGTGGCAGAAGATTTTTCGTTCTCTGCAAATGAATTGTAACCCATGGAGTGCCCGTTATGATCATTTTCCGTTCATAGTGTGTGTAACGAACGATTGATAGATCAGATAACCGATTTTATTTATTTACTGTTTTGTCTATAAAACAGACAAGGCATGTTATGTCTCTGGCAGTATTACAAGCAGGGGCGGACTGACAACTCATGGGGCCCCCGGGCAATAGGGGATCATGGGGCCCCTGTGTCCTTGCCCAAACTCAAAAAAGCCTATGATAAAGGTACCAGGGGCATCTCATGGGGCCCCCTACTGACCCTGGGCCCTCAGGCAGTGCCCGAGTTTCCAAATGGTCAGTCTGCCCCTGATTACAAGTTAGGCTGCGTTCACACCGATGCATTTTTTTTTTTGGGTGCTTTTTTGCAGAAACGCACTACAGTCCATTTAACATGGTTTTCCTATGGGACATGTTCACATCTAGGCTTTTTTTGATTGGCTGCATTTTTGGAAAGTGTCCGAGCTTTTTCACCGAGCGTTTTAATAACGCTGGTAACATTAGCTGTGTAAAGTCACATTAAAAACGGGAGGTTTTTTTTTAGAGTTTTTGCATTAGCGGCGTTGTGCGGCGATTTTTTTGCATTTGCGTTTTTTTTTTTTTTTTTTTGCCAAAAATCAGACCTAAGAATAATCAGCCGATTTTCGCTCTATTAGTGGGTCAGTGGCACCGGCTGATTTTCATGGTTCCTCCCCTTTTTGGTGATCGGACATGTTTGGAAAATTCTTGAAAAACCACTGATTTTCGACTCAATGATGGTCAAATTGTACGATTGTTTTTCCAAAAAGAATATGCGCATGAGCCGTGACCTGGAAGGAACAGAAGTTTCACCTGTTATATGGGGTAAACTTTATGACTTGTTCGGCCGATTTTCGAAATCATTGATGGCACCATCGGATTATCGAGCGAACGACGTTTTTGGGCAAAAAATTGTTTGGAATTCG